TCAGTACAGGAAACAGCAGGAAGATGCCATCAGAGCCCAGTGATTTGCTGGAAACCTGGACCGGTGGGGAAATCCAATCATGGCACCTGGCCACTGACACACTGCTCACAAGTGCCTCCAAGCTCCAGTGCAGCGCTCACACAAGCGGTCTGTGTGGGCATGCTTGCTCCTTTTACTGTTGTGATGGTCTGATTATCACCATCTTGTTTTCTTCATCCTATTCTTCTACTTCACCTTCCTCCTGATTCTGATCCTTGTACTTTTATGGAAATTCTCCTTCCCTTCTTGGTTTTATTCCTTTGTGTTTCAAGGTAAAGGGATTCATGCTCATTTCATGTCGTGTGTGGCTGAAAAGCTTGGCTGCACCACAACCTCATAGAGCAGAGGAGGTGGTACTTCTTGCTCTAGGTGCTTCCATTTGGGGAGAGTTTACTCTTAACCTTTAGTTTGGACATGTTAAAAGCACGGTTCCACGTAGTGAAGTTGACTAGCTTGTTCATGAATCTGTGACTGATAGCCTATGTCTTCGTTAGATCTCAGGGATTTCCTTCCATGGATGCAAAGGGTACTCATGTGAATTTACAAGAATTCCTTAATGCTGAGGGTTAACAAAGGTCAAATGTTGATGGAATTGGGATGAGGAAGACGTGGGTTTGTGTCTGGTGGTGACCTGTCCTTTTGCAAGTTATATACAGCACTGGTCTCTGAGAGCTTCCATCTTCATTGGTGAAACAGGAAGAATTGAGGCCATGCCGATGCTTTAGAGTGAGGAGAGGTTTGCTATGGGAGCTGCTTCACCACAGGCCTACAGTAAGGCCCTCATTAGTGAGTGGCAGGGTCCTGCAGCTAGCCACCCAGCCATCCACTCTGATACATTATCTTGTTGCTATTGAACAAATAACGAAGGAGACTGTCCCATGAACAGTGTTCAGTAGTAGTGTGTGCACGTTCAGTGGTGGAAGGAAAGTTAACCCAGCTCATTATCTGTAGAGCACTTTACCTGTAGGACTCCTCCAAAAACAAGGAGATAGAGCAAGTGCTCATCTCTATGGTATCAAGACAATTTCCACACACAGAAAGAACATGAAACAATGAGGTGACTAGTGAAGGACTGGATCCTGGAAGCAGAGAGGACAGCTGATGGAACCAGGTGCCACCTTTGGCCAGCCTTTGACAGCTGATGCTGGTATCCAGGGCAGATTGGGAGAGTATCTCAGCAGAAAGGATGTGAGGTCCAGAAGGGCAGAAGGCAGATGGTTCTTGCCAAGGTCACAAGAAGTAGAGAGGAAGGAATTGCTCAGTTCAGAGATTTCTATAGTTGAAAACAAACAATAGCAAGAGGAACAACGAAAAGGAGGTTGTGACAAGATAAACAAATTTGTGACGAGTATAAATGAGAATAAGGAAATGTATACATGAGCCAGAGAGGTGAATCTGCTCCTGATTACCCATGAATGTCTTATTTGATTTGAGTATTATTTGGGAGACATTTCATCATTCAGCG